CGGTGTGTTGTCAAATGGTGTTTGTGTGGAATGCAGGATGTGGACTAATGTTGAACTCACTTGATAAAACAAAAAACAAACAAACAAATGAAAATTAAAAATCTAAATCAAACAGGGCAGGACAATAAATGCAAGTTCAAGGACCCTCCTGGGAAATAAGAGATACAAAGCACAAGGGGACACTCAGCTAATATATACAGAAGGGTGATTGGAGCAGAAAGGAGACACCTGGGGGACAGAACTGAACTAAAGCAGAATAACAAGCAACAGAAGAAAAGTAAAACATGAAAGCAAAGACAGATGACTATCAAAATAAAGCAGGAAGTGAGTAAACTGATATGACAGACTAACATACAGATTTAACACAATGTGACACAAGGAGAAGACTCAGATGGTAAACAGATTAAGCCTTAAACAGGATACTAACAGCAGAAACATAACTAAGTTTCAACAATAACAAAACTAAGAACCAAATAGAAGACCGGGATGTTAAACAGGCATAAAATGAAACATCTGGATCCAAAAGCAGAACCCCTGCGGTTCCCCCTGCAGGTAGCTTGCTCTCAGGACTTGAGACCACTTGAGTCCAACTCAAATCAAAGATAAAGACAAAGTGTTGTCTAACTGAATTCTTAGCTGCAAGTTAACTAGTCTGGTTTTCAGAAAATAGATGTTATCTTTCAAATGAACTCCCTCATATTTATTTAGAGTTGTAGTGAAATGTTTTATGTATCTAAATACCTAAAGTAAGGTGTGGGTGCAAGCCAAACCCTAACTTTAAATGAGTCTCTGGTGACTTGATGGATGTTAAAATGTAAAGGTGATAAATGTCAGAGCTCAGTATTCATAAAGAGACGTTCCTGGTGAGTGTTTGGGAGAAGCGGAGGAAGGTAAGGAGGTTAAAGCCATGGTTCCTTCACCTTTCCCATGGTATTACCAGCACCCGTCTCCATCAGGGTCATCATTACAACAGAATTAGTTAAAATCACCTGAGATTTAATCAAAACTTCACCTTTGCAGTCATACATTGTGGACTCAGACAACAAAAAGATGTGAATGTTTGTGTAGAAGTCCAAACTCTTACTCACACATTTGACCCTCCTCTTCCTCTTTGTTTGAACATGTCATTCTGGTGCTAATCGGCTAATATGCTGCAGATATTTACAACACAACAACATCAGCATCAGCAGTGTGGGGATTTGCCACGGTGTATTTATCTTCACTGATTTTTCTGACTTTATAGTCTGAGAACATCCAGTCTGTTTGTCTGATGGGCACTGCACACAAATCTGTCGATAACAGTCTGAAAGGAGACGGCCACTCGAGAGCGAATCGTCTACCGAGGCCATTGCTCGTTGCTTTTTAAAATAAAGAAAGACATTTAATGGATTCTTCTTTTGCAGATGCTCCATTCCTGCAGCAAATTTCATTAAAATTTTCCTGGTAATTTTTGTGTAGTCTTACAAACAGGCACAGATGGAAACAGCTCATTCTCAGTTTTCTGCTGGTCTGATGTCATAACATGAACACATTATAAACACATTTTAATACTACGATGAGTATGCTCACAGGTCCAATGTATTTGTACCAAATTTAACTATGTTACTTTCTACTTTGGATGCAAATATTAATATCAACATTATATAGTAAGTAATTAAAATAACCAGCTGGTGTGATGATAAAGAGATTTATACAACAATACCTAAAGAATAACCGTCCAACAGCACATCTGCTTAACTGCATATGACTTATGACTAGCTTGCAAAACAAGTATCCCAGATAAAAATATATATGACCTTAATAATAAATAAATGTAACAAATAAATAATAATACAGCAGTAAGAGGAAACCCACAAACAAACATCCGTGTCAAAAATAATAAGCACATTACTCCAAGAAACACGTAAACAAACCAAAACACAACAAGGAAAAGAGTCCCTCCATCTAACGTTAGCCAATCAGACCATTTCTCAACGAATGGCAGCTCACTCTGTCACAGTCTGGCAGAGGCAGACTGCATGTATTGTGAAGAGTGGACCCAAAGTGCAGACATGAAGGAACTTGGACCAAAGCTTGAGTATTAACAATAAGCGAGCCGTTTAATACGGCTGATAAAGTACAAAAACAAAAGGCAGATGCACACAAGAAA